ACCGCTCACCGAAAGCTCTAACACCCAGAACCCTGAACCGCCTAACAATGCAACCCTCAAAATCCTGAAACCTCAAAGCCCCAAAACCTCGCAATCCACCAACCAAGGACAAGACCAACAAAAATTAAAAAAAGCGCGCACACACACACACACACATATGCCAACCCCAAACCCTCAACCCTGAACCCTAGCCCCTCCCTCAAGCTAAAGAGATAAAAGCAGCTGGGTGCCGCACCCCAAACCCTAAACCCTAAAAACCCGAAACCCTAAAAACCCCTAAACCCTGAACTCTAAACCCTAAAAACCCTAAACCCCAAACTCTAAAGCCTAGAAACCCTAAACAGCTGGGTGCCGTACCCGACCCTGAGTCACCACCGAGAAGCAGGGGCCTAAGAGCTCCGGGTTCTTTGAATATGATATATTGAATATTATTAAAAATACTTGTGTATTGTATGCACCGTTTCTTCTGTCATCTGTTCTATTCATTGAATTGGAGATATTACAGTACAATTTCATGCATAAGATATATTTATTTCTTGTTTTAATTTGTTGTTATTTCAATGTTTGACCCAGAAACTCCAATATCCCTTCATTAAAGAATATACCTCAGGGCTCCTTAAAGGGATCTGTATGGGTTGGGTTCTATAAGGGAATTAAGGAATATACCATGATTATAGTAGGATCAAAAGTATGGTTTAAGGAATATTCGGTAATTAAGGGATATTGGAGTCTCTGGGTAGGTGCATTGCGTTAGGCTTGGGGTTGCTTTTTGAGGGTTTAGGGTTTAGGCTTCTTGTTGAGGGTTTGGGGTTTGGGGTTTAGGTTTCTTGTTAGAGTTTAGGGTTCAGGTTTCTTTTTGAAGGTTTAGGGCTTATAGGGATTCTTATGAGGGTGTAGGATTACGGTCTAGGGCTTAAGTTTTTTTAGACTTCGGAGTTTAGGATGCACGTTCTGGTCTTGGGAATTGCGGATTGGCAATCATATGGATGCATTCCTCCGTTCCTTACCAAGAACCAGGCAGTCAGAGCTACTGTGGTCAGGCTTAGGGTTTGGTTTTAGGTTTTTTTGAGAGCTCTTTTCCGTCTGCACGTGGGCATGGCCTGCAGTAGTGGTGAAAAGAGAAAAGCTGTACTAGCAGTGGCACTGGGATTTCACCGCATCCGCATCATCACCATCAGTAGCATCATCATCATCAGCAGCAGCATCATCATCATCATCATCACCGCCATCGCCATGACCATCACCGTCATCCCCATCCTCACCTGCGGCAACGACACGGTCTCAAATTGGACTACATCTTAATTACAGTTGCAAGAACCATTATCAATGTAATCTGAAAAACTAAGAACGATCAAGCGGTATAGCGACACAAATATGGCGACAAAGAAGGCAACGCAAAGGGGAACGGCAGTATTGCAAGTCATGACGGCCAGCAGTACTACTGCAGGCAGCGATAACAACCAGAATAATAACAGTATCCTTACAGAAACTTGGTTATTGATTCTGATTTGTTGCACGAAAGACATCTTAATGCTCAAACTATACTGAAACCCCTAAAGCCTCCAGAACTGCGTGGGCCTGAAACCCCTGTGAGATACCCCACACCAAAAAGGGAACAACGAAGCAAAGGCCCAGCTTCAGAAGAAGAGCAACTACAAAATGTAACACTTACGAAACCCGAACAACCCGAGGAAAAACCTCCGAACCCACAAACCGTACGCGCAAGACCCTACAACCCGAAATCTGAGAACCCTTAACCCTCAAAGAACCCAAACATCCCAGACCCTGATGCCTCTAAGAAAAACTCTTCAACCCCAAACCAATGTAGTAATTCTTCCAGGTACAGCTTAATAAGGATCCTAGACCCTGATGCCTCCAAAAGAAACCCTTCAACCCTAAACCCCAAAAGTGACACTTCTACTACAGCTTAATAAGGATGCTAGACCCTGATGCCTCTAAAGGAAACCCTTGAACCCTAAACCCCTATTGTAATTCTTCTAGTACAGCTGAATACAAACCAATGTAGAAATTCTTCTAGTACAGCTTCATTAATGAGGAATCCGAAGTCCTCAACAAGATCCCCGGCCGGGCTCGGTGCCGGCTGTGGAGTCGTCAGCCTTCGGCTGCCAAATGCCCCCGGGCTCCAGATGCGTGGGATCTGCCTGCGGTTTAGGGTGTAGCAGTGTAGCATTAGGGGCTACTTGGAGGGGCAGGGGACTTAGCAAGTAGGTCATACGTAGGGTTATAATTGGGGTAACTCCATTTAGGGTACTTATAACTCTACTTATAACCTACTTTCTAAGTCCCCTGCCCTTCCAAGTAGGGTTTAGGGCTTATCGTTTAGGGCTCATGGCTTGGGGGGCAAAAAGAATCCTTCAAGCGGTCTGGCGAGGCAAGCGAAAGCGCTGTGCAGATCATCCGAGGGATCCTTGTTGCCCTGCTCATCTCAGGACATCTGAAGCCCTGAGCCCTAAACCTTAATTGATCTTGTTTCAATGCCGGAGAATTAGGTAATTAGTTGTGTGGCGTGGGAGGAAAGGAACGGCGAAGCGCGCTGCTTAGGATCGGCGAGGTATCCCGGAAAGTAATTACGAAGATGCCCCCGCGAACCCTGAAGCCTAAGAGGCGTCAGGGAGTCTGGACCGAAGTAGGGACTAAACCCTACAAGCTCCCCCACCAGCCTTCCCGATTTCCCCTGTGCTCAGGATGGGCATTCGCGGCACCGACATGTTACAGACTCGCGCTGTTTGTCATTCCTTGTGAGTTCTTCGTCTTGCTTGATCCGCAAAACTATTAAAAGAGTCTGCAGCCAATCCGTCAGGGCTACAGGGAAGTTGGGGGGGCCTTGACTTCTGCAAAGCGAACGCCTGCCACGGCGAGGCTCTTTGCTCCTCGTCTGCAGAACACTAAAATCTTCTAGCGCAGCTTTCGGACTGGTGCCCAAAGAGCCCAGTCCTCCTTAATTGAGAAGGTTTACGTACCACAGAACTGCGCAGGGCTCCGTACTGTTGTTTATAAAATATGTATACCTAAATCTGAATGCTCCCAGGGCTTCGGACTGGTAAAACGAAGCCTCTCACCAAAACTAGGGACCACAGGACGAGTTTATGGGTTGTTGATCCAACAGCAGCCAGCCCGTTATCGCTGCGCCAGTCCTACTTCTCAAAACTTGTTTGCAATGCCGTTCTGATGGGTATTCTTAGGGTGACCATAAAGTAAGTTTCTACTAGGGTACTGCAAGGATACTTCAAGCATTGCATTCACACAATAGCTCGGGCCATGCTTTTGATGGCTGGAGGTGAAACAGAAAGCCCTTCAGTTCGTTACTTGCATGCAATGTATATAGGAGTCGTATAAGGCTTGAACATAGACATATATGCATATAAACATACACAAGAACATATTCAACATATACACAACGTATACAAATACAATACCTGTACGTGTACCTCTGCCTGTGCCTTCACCTATAGCTTGATACATACACATTATGCACATGCACATACACATGCACACAAAGACCCATATACGATTAATTTGTTATGAAAAGAAGTGGAAGCACGAAATTAACCGGAGTGAAGAACGAAAACACCACGAACCCAGAACCTCCAAGATTGACCTTTTCCCTAGTAATAAGACTGTAACCGTAAAATAGGTGAAATCCGTGCTTCTGTTTCTCTCTTTCGTTCGGTTGTAGTGAAGTGAAGAGAGAAAAGAAAGCACGAACCGAACAAATGAGAGAAACTGAAGCACCCCAAAGACCTAAATTTAGCATGAAGAGAGCCACACATTCCATTCATTTCTCTCTCTTCACATTTATTTTGGTCTTTTCTTTGCAATGGAACGGAGGGACCGTGGTTGTGTTTAAAGAAGGAACGAAAACAAGCGAGTGACAGCGTAGACACACATGGACCAGAACACACACACACACATACACATGCATGTGCTCGTTCACATACTCCCACATGTCCACAGCAAGGTACACATACACACGGACGTACACATATGCGTATGCGTACACGTACATACACACACACAAACACAAACACACACACACACACACACACACGCGCACGCACCTTATGTGCACGGACACACGCAGATGTGCAAATACGAATACACATATACAGACACGTGCACATACACGTGCACATATGCCTGCACATACACATACGCAGACACACAGCACACACACACAAACATACATATACACACACATGCACAGGCCCATATACATGTACGCACACGCATGCACATACACGTACACATGTCCTACACGTACACATACACATACACGTACACATAAAACTCACGCAACCGCGCGCACACACACAGACGCACGCACCTACCGATTGTCACGGATGCATACACGTACGAATAGACATGCACATACACCTGCACGTAGACTGTAAACGTATGCACACATACGATCACATGCGCAGACACACACACACACACACGCTGATGTACACGTACACATACGCGTACACATACATCTTGGCATACACACACATACTTACACGCATACATACAAGCATACGTACAAACTTACATACATACATACATACGTACATACATACATATACAGACATACACGCATACATGCGTACATACATACATGCATACATACATAGATACATACATACATACACACATACATACAGGCAACGGAAACACCTATTGTCTCGTCTTTCGTTAAGGAGTATGGTGTAGTATTGCCGCAAAACAGAATGCTTTTGTTGTGAGAGCCATCCCGACTTTTGTAATACAACTAGAGAATGACTATAAGATTGCCATTCACGGAACTCTACTCAGCTTTACCGGTACTGCGACGCCATCGGGGCGATGAAGGCAGCCACAAAAAGGATGCCAAAGACGCCAACGGTCTCGTCGATTTTCGCCTCGAACTGCTACACTGCACTGTACTATGTCTATCATATTGCTGTACTAGACCAGCAGATCACACCTCTACTGTTCTATACAGAAAAATAGCGAACTGGTCACGGGCCTGAGATCTTCCTCGCGTCGCCACTTCCTGTCGAACCCTCTTGGCGATGTCGATTTAAGAGTGTTGGCGGCTCGGACCGCTCTTGGCATTCCACAAGATCAGCCAGGAAGGGATGGATATCCGGGCCTGACACCTCTACTTGGGCCTCCAGGATGCCCCGGCAAAGAGCAGCCATGACCTCTTGGTCCCTCCGAAACTGAATAAATTCCAGGCCTTCTTGTGCTCTGAGCGTCTCCGGGTGGCGTGCTCCGAGAGCCTCAGACCGAGCAATTAGGACCTCTTGGCTCATCTGCAGCGCCTCCTCAAACCTGCCCAGACTCCCGAGAGTGCTTGCCATGTTTCCTTGCGCGATGAGTGTGTCCGGGTGGCGTGCTCCCAGAGCCTCAGTCCGAGCAGCCAGGACCTCTTGCTCCATCTGCAGCGCCTCCTCAAACCTGCCCAGACTCTTCAGAGTCACTGCCATATTTCCTTGCGCTAGGAGTGTGTCCGGGTGGCGTGCTCCGAGAGCCTCAATCAGAGCAGTTAGGACCTCTTGGCTCATCTGCAGCGCCTCCTCGAACCTGCCCAGACTCTTCAGAGTCACTGCCATATTTCCTTGCGCTAGGAGTGTGTCCGGGTGGCGTGCTCCCAGGGCCTCAGTCCGAGCAGCCAGGACCTCTTGCTGCATCTGCAGCGCCTCCTCGAACCTGCCCAGACTCCAGAGAGTCATTGCAATGTTTCCTTGCTCTCGGAGCGCTTTCGGATGGCGTGCTCCCAGAGCCTCAGTCCGAGCAGCCAGGACCTCTTGTGCCATCTGCAGCCCCTCCTCGAACCTGCCCAGACTCCGGAGGTTCATTGCCATGTTTCCTTGCACGGCAAGCGTGTGCGGGTGGCGTGCTCCCAGAGCCTCAGTCCGAGCAGCCAGGGCCTCTTGTTCCATGTGCAGCGCCTCCTCGAACCTGCCCAGATTCCTGAGAGTGCCTGCCATGTTTGCTTGCGCACAGATTGTGTCCGGGTGGCGTGCTCCCAGAGCCTCAGACCGAGCAGCCAGGACCTCTTGCTCCATCTGCAGCGCCTCCTCAAACCTGCCCAGACCCCCGAGAGTGCCTGCCATGTTTCCTTGCGCTCTGAGCGTGTCCGGGTGGCGTGCTCCCAGAGCCTCAGTCTGAGCAGCCAGGACCTCTTGCTCCATCTGCAGCGCCTCCTCGAACCTGCCCAACTTCCTGAGAGTGCTTGCCATGTTTCCTTGCGCTCTGAGCGTGTCCGGGTGGCGTGCTCCCAGAGCCTCAGTCTGAGCAGCCAGGACCTCTTGCTCCATCTGCAGCGCCTCCTCAAACCTGCCCAGACTCCAGAGAGTCATTGCAATGTTTCCTTGCGCTCTGAGCGTGTCCGGGTGGCGTGCTCCCAGAGCCTCAGTCTGAGCAGCCAGGACCTCTTGCTCCATCTGCAGCGCCTCCTCAAACCTGCCCAGACTCCAGAGAGTCATTGCAATGTTTCCTTGCGCTCTGAGCGTGTCCGGGTGGCGTGCTCCCAGAGCCTCAGTCTGAGCAGCCAGGACCTCTTGCTCCATCTGCAGCGCCTCCTCAAACCTGCCCAGATTGCAGAGAGTGGTAGCCATGTCCATTTTTCCTGCCAGCGCCCACGAGTGCTGTGGGCTCAGGATGGTCTGGAAGAGGCAGAGCTTCAGCTTCAGGAAGTGGGCCCAAGCCTGGGCTCAGCGAAACTCAGTCAGACTGCTTTAATGAAGTGAGTTTGGTTGCCTAAGCTAGGAATGCACCGCTGCAACCCCTTTGTTTACTGGCATCTTGTAACAAGATAACCTGCATCAGTATGGTTGTTTGGTAGTCAGTGTCAGCGGCTTTCTTCCCTGGCCCTGCCTCCCACGCCTCCGCGTAGAGCTGCGCGTCCTCGAGCACGGCTGCTCGAAGAGCAAGGCAGGCGAAGATTTTTATGCAGCTGACACCGATGAAGAGAAACTGCATCGTGGAGCCGCCATACACGATGACAAAAAAGGACTGCAGCAATGCTTGGGGTAGGTCTTCTGTAAGTGCCACAGCAAGCTTGGCAGGCGAGGTCTGGCCATCCAGAAAGCTTGCTTTCCGTTGCAGGATGGCTTGCACCGGCGACAGCTGCTTCAGAAGGTCATTCGAGTGGAAAGCTTGCATGTAGGCACCTGAAATGATGAGCACCAGCACGCCCAATGTAGCCAAAATGTAACCGAAGTACGACTGCGTGGCCCCTGCCAGCCCAATGAAAAGCCAGTCCTTAAACACGTCGAGGGGCTCCCCCAGGATCGGCAGCACCGCCTGAACGATTGGGTAGCCCAGCGAGGGCACCTCACAGTCGCTGGGAAGGCAGAGCACCAGGCCAACGGCTTGGAGAACGTAGATCAGCAGCATAATCACCACCCAGAACTCGTAGACCTCCCAGCAGAGTCCGTCATGGGCATCCAGGCGACCTGTGGCTGAAGATAACAATGCCAAGGTGGCGCACAACATGTGCAGGACCAGCTGCCAGAAGGCGCGGTGCCAACAGAAGCCTTGCCCACTTTCGTTTTCTTCGTTTTGGGGCTCATGAACTCGCAGTGGCGTGAAGCTGGGCGGCGGCTCAGACCGCATCCAGGCTGCCAGCCTGCGGCCTGCCGTCCCAAGGCATGTTAGTAGCTCCCCCAGCACAAAGGAGGCGAAGATCAGCCACAAGATCGATGACACGTAGTAGTCAAGCCTCTGCTCCTGCTCACGTTTGCTAAGCTGGCCCCCGGCGTGCCAGGGAAGTGTGTGCTCGGGCCGGTCGAGCAAGTGCGTGCAGCTTTCCAGCTGTCTCCAATCCTTCGGCAAAGAAATCTTCATCTTCGCTGAGGCCCAGGGCGATGCGAACGCTGCAGCAACGAGAGCTGAGAGTCCACTCAGAACCAGAACTACTTTATTGTATGACTCCTGCCCACATCGACGTCCTGCCGCTAGCAAAGAAAGCAAGACGCCCCAAAGAAAGGCGAACAGCGGCATACTCGCAATCCCGATGGCGAGGAAGAGCCAAACTTCGATCAGCAAGTGCCATGCCAGGGTCGCCGGCTTGACAAGATTTGGAACAGCCGGGAGGAAGGACACGGCCCTCTTGGCCTCAGCAAGGGTGCTTTCTTCTAGGCTCTGAGAGTCGAGGAGGCGCCTCGCAGGCTGGTCCATTGTTCCGGCCGAGAGCAGAACCAGGAGCCCACAACATGCCAGGAGGACGGCTCCGAGGAGCCGGGATGGTGGAGTCATGGCTGCCATGGCTCATTCGGAGGAGGCAAAGCACAGTTCGTGTCCTAAAATCCACGGACTCTGCGCCGCTGCTGCAACATCCACGCATCTGCGAGGGCTCTCGGTCATGTCCAATGCGCTTGATCTGTTGGTGATGCTATTCTGAGCATGTTGGGTGTGCTGGGAGGGCTGTGTGGACGGCGGCAACGTCGCAAGAAGTTCACGCTTCTGCCGTCTGGCACCGGCAGCGAGAATTTTGATTGGCCCCGATATATGACACGAAGCTTGCAAGCCATTCCTCCATCACGTGGTCCATCATTCAGTTCAAGACAGGAACGGGGCCACATGTTTTAGGATTACATTCAATATTCATTTTGTTTGTCTCATTATACCCGTGACCTTGGCCACATGACATGCACAGGATCAAGGCGACATCCGGCTTCTGATAGCTTGAAGACAGTTACAAGCTTTAACCCACGAGAGACACCCAAAGCAGCTCCCGGACGACTCCAGCCTGCAAAGCGATGGCCTTGCTGCAAAGGTCCTCCTTCAGGCTGTTGACATTTTGGTTTAGGGTTTAGGGTTTAGCTTCAGCTTAGGGTTCACCCCGTTTCGCCTCGTGGTCCAGTCTCATAAGAAAATGTCTGCTTCATCAGGGCCACCTTGGATTGCTATCGCTTCCTGGAGCCTCATCCTAAAGCCGAGTGTTGTGGCATTCATAAGGATACTATTGACCATTATGCCGACCCCGAAACCCTAGGCCCTAAACCGGCATGGGTATCAGCTTGTTGGAGATCTTACCAGGCACATCGAACCAGGGACCTTATCGAGGGCGACAAACATGGGTTTCTTAAACGTAGAACGTAGGGCATAGGGACGGGGATACCTTATTCAGTTCCGAAATGTTCGGCATCTGCGTAAAGATCTACTGCGGGCCCGAGCCCTCTCTCCCCAGTGCTCTTCCAGAGATAGATGAACCCGAATCCTTTGCTGGTGGGGCCTTTACAAGTTCAAAGAAAGCCCGAAGCCCGAAACCCCAAACTTGCGGGCCCCCGACCCTGCAAGACCAACCCCGAAACCAAGAAGCCATGCACAGCCACAAAGCGCAAAGACAAACAACTGAAAATGAATCCTAGGTTCGGCCTTTGAGATGGCAATAGGCAGGACACTCATCGGGATGCCTTCCATGACCTTCAAGCAAGCTTTGGCAAGGGCTTTCTTGGGTGCTATACAGTTTTTAGAGGGAGTTGAAGATAAGGGATCTACACCCTAACCCCTAAACCCTCTAGCCCCTAAACCCTAAGGAGTTGAAGATAAGGGCTCTACGAAGGGTGTTATGATGGACTGGGTTCTGGGGGTTAAGGCCTTGCGCGTTACTCTGTTGCTTACCTTTGGTTAGTAGGGAATGGAAGAATGGTAGTAGTGGTAGTTAGAATTGTACTCCATTCCTCCATTTCCTACTAACTAAAGGTAAGCTATAGGATTGTTAAGGCCCCTATATTATAGTACCCTCATAGATCCCTTATAGTAACCCTTATAGACCCCTTTATAAGGCCCCTTTCATTCCTTACTAACCAAAGGTAAAGTTGGGGGTCCGAGGGGTCTGTCGGTTTGGGACTCTGCATCTTCGGAGGTTGGAGGGATTGCTTACACGGTTTAGGGTTTAGGGGTTTAGGGGTTTAGGGTTTAGGGTTTAGGGGTTTAGGGTTTGGGGGTTTAGGGTTTAGGGGTTTAGGGTTTAGGGTATACTAAAGTGCAGCTAAACTCGAAAGCTCGTGCCCCCCAAGCCCTAAACCCTCAAGCCACGAACACGCGACGCTGTTCTTGAAACCCTTGTGTCAAGACGACATACTCTCCGAAAACCGAGAACCGAGTTCAAAGAACGGCCTCTAAGAACTATAACTTCGAAAACCGAAACCTCGGAACCCCAAATGGGAGTTTCCGAAAATAGGGGACCCTCATATAGTACCCTAGATAGTATATAGGATTCTTATTATGAGGACCCCCAAAATAAGGTGCCCTAATTTTCGGAAACTCCCAAATCGATCTCGGCTTGATGTAGGGGCACTAGGGCATAGACTAGGGTTTTGGCAAGCTGGGATGCTTCCAGTAGAGTCGGATGGCGATTATATGTGGACACTGCTGCTGACTGTTCAGACCTCTATACTGTTATACCACTTGAGGTTCGATGGAAATCCAGCTTAACATTCAAGCAAACCCTGAACTGGAAGTGAAAAGGTCACAGGAGACCCCGCTCCCAGAAAAAGGAAGGAAGCACAAACACACATTTAACATTGACTTGCAAAAAAGTCATCTCCCCATGATAAGGGGCCGAGGGTTCAATAGTCTATGCTTGCCCCCAAAAACTGAACCCTAAACCCCCAATAGTTTTTGCTTATGATGTCTGTTGGTCCTCGCGAGGAGCGCAGGGCTCAGAAATTAAATACTAACACTGTTCTACTGGTCGGGTATCCTGGGGAACTGAATGTTAACCTTTGGGAGTGTATTGGGATTGTATCGAGGTTATAGTACCCCAACAAGGCTAAAGGTTACCTACTCTACAACTCAAAACAGTGTACACGCGGCTTGTTTCGTAGCCCACTAGCAGCTGCAAGAGCAACATGTAAGCTTCATTTGCCCTCAACCGTCATCTGTGCTACAAGCCGCGCCCCCCTTTTCCCGAAGCTGTCGAAGAGTGCACGTCGTCAGCGGCGAGAGGGATGCCATGAAGCACAAGCTGCCCCGTCCAGCTGCACACCAAAGAGTTCGAGGATCGATTTCCCAAACGATTTAATGTCCTCTGCCAGGGCATCGAAATCAGACATAGTGTGCTCATGATCAAGCCGCCGCCCTCCATCAATGTGGGAAAGGCTAGGGTGAAGCTGCGTGGACAACACCACATGTGCCCCCTCACACTTAATCTCCAACTCCTGCCGTGAATGTCGTGTTGGCAGTGGTAAATCCGCGTCATCAGCCTGCAGTAGACCACTCTTCAGCACGAGGCCTCTAAGAACATGAAGACTTGCGGCGGACAAATGGCACTCTTTTTGGAGCTTCTTCCCCTGAAAGAAGCCTCCCTGCAGGAAGTCCCGCGCGAACCGAAACCTCCCACTGCTGCAGAACTCAAACTCGTGCAACTCGTGATCATCTTGGAAATCTCTTCGTGCTGAATACTTGACGTAGAAGTCGTCTGACACTTCGACCATCCCTCAGAAGCCGTGCGGCCCAGCGGGGTTGTAGAATTTTCGCGTTAGGCTTTGGGTTTTCTTTTCTGCTCCCGGGTTGATGGTTCAGGGTATCACGCACCCATGGCCTCATAAACGGGTCTGGAAGATGATTCGTAGTATCTCTTAGAAGCTGCCCCCACCATGTAATAGTGACTATAAGGATTACATTAGGGCCCTATAAAATTCCTATTATACCACTATTACAGGGAGGGGGCAGCTTCTAAAGTATCTCCTATTTAGTCCCGATGTGACAGGATACGATCACCTGCCCTAAAACTCTGCTCTTGCCATTAAGGCCCCTGCCCCTACCTGCGCAGGTCGACTGATGAGTCTTATCAGACATGTTAAACCAAACCGGCCCTGTTAGGGTTTAGGGTTTAGGGTTTCGGGCTTACGGTTTATCTTGCTTCTAGAATCGGATCAGGGCATAATCTGCTTTTCCGGGAACCACTTCATAATACGGAGCAACGTTTTCCTAGGACTCAGCTTCAACATTGAGATCCCGAAGAAGCAGGAAACAAAAACGAACGACCCCATACAGAAACCCTTCAAAAAGAAACCCTTGTACGGCTCTGCAAGAAATCCTTAAAGAAAGCCCAGCCCCGACCGAGACCATTCGAAGAGCCGAGAATCTCAGCTCAAGTGTAGTTCGCTCGTTGCTGTCGGTACACAGATGCTTCAAGATCTCATGGTCCGACAACCTTGGGTATTACGGTTTTGATTTTTCGGGAGTACAGGTGATGACACGGTTTTGCAGGGGGTGTAATGCTCCTAGTCCGACAACTCGGCCTTGATGATTAGAACAGAGTGCCTTACGGTTCCACAGGCTTTTTCCGAAGTGTCATAGTGGCTTAATTAGATCTCACTGGGTTTTACAGGCTTTGGTAGGCTTGCCCAGTAGTAAGGGGTGGAAACTCCCACGGCTTCAGGATCTTATAAGCTTTGTGGGTTGTAGGGCTTGTAGGGTTTAAGGCTTTTACGGTAGAGGGTTTGGAGGGTAGAGGCTACGGTAGAGGGTTTAGGGTTTACGGTTCGGGGGCATAGCCCAGAAGCAGCTTGCAACCTAGTAGAAGCTGCCTTCCTGAGGGTAGAAGCGAAGTTGCCCGGCCCGTAATTTCAGAGATCTGGTCCTTCAGTGGTTAGTTTTGAGCTAGAGAGTTGTCTAGAGCAGCTACAGGGGTGCATGGTCTTGATGGGGCTTTATGGGGTGTGGGGCTCGCCGGGATAGGCTTTGGCGCAAAAGGCTTGGTCTAGTCCACGGTTTCCTGCGTTTTGGTTTAGGCTTGGGGCTTCAAGCTTTTGGAGCTTGGGCTTTAGGGCCTGTTTTAGCTGTTTGAAGAGTTTAGGGCTTAAGAATGTGTGTTGCTATGTTTACATAAGGGCTTTCAGTCCTTCACATCCACCACGGACCATCTCCCATCAGCTTTGAATCCGCAAAGTTGTCTACCGGAAACGGCATTCAACACCTCAAGGCTTAGGCTTTCGCGGAAGCTTTCGCAAATGATGTTACTGGGTTTCGGGCTTAAAGGCTTAAACGCGTAGTGATGTTGGGTTCTGGGGTTTGGATTTTGGGCCGTTAGGATTAGAGGCTAGGTTTGGGTGCCTTGCCCGTCGGTTCACCGACTTTTGGGCGCCCCGATTTTTGCACAGGACTACTACCGTCATGCAGTGTAGTGAAGAAGAAGCTAGGGTTTGGTGCCACCCTAAGCCCGACTTTCCTCTGGCCTTGAATGGAAGCCTGCACGCATTACACCGCGGGGGCAAACCTGAAACTCCATGCTTATTCAAGGGAGCGTGGGGCTCAGGGCCCCACAAAACCCTAAACCCTAAACCCCTAAACCCTAAACCCTAAACCCTAAACCCTAAACCCTAAACCCCTAAACCCCTAAACCCTAAACCCCTAAACCCCTAAACCCCTAAACCCCTAAACTTGCTTTGAGTGTTGCTGTCGGAGTTTAAACTCCCGACGAAGTTCTTGAGGCCTTAGTTAAAGACCACCAATGCTTGAGGTCTACTCTTCCTAAACGCTGAACCGTACACCCATCAATCCTGAAACCCCCAAGCCTGAACCCCGAACCCTGAAGCCTAAGCCCTACAGTAGAACCCTTGTAGAACCCGTCATTTTCGTAAACCTCAAACCCTTCCACCTCGACGTCGACAGGAAGGTTCTCCTCATCCTCACCCGTAAAGAGTCGGGTTCCCTCAAATCCTTACACCCCCTAAACCTTCCGCCTCAACGTCGATAGGAAGGTTCTCCTCCTTCTTCGCCTCACCCTCCCGTCGCGGACTTCTGGAGCGGTCCAGCGACGCTTTCCGCCCAGGCATGGCGCCGAGGGCAGTAATTTAGCGCTTATAGGGCCCCGAAAAAGCACATAAGCAAAAATCAGGTTAGGGATATCCCATATAAACCCCCTTATAATGAAGCCCAATAAGGTAGGGATATCCCGATCAAATGCTGATGCTTACGTGCTTTTTGGGTCCCTAAGCTTAGGGTTTAGGGTTTAGGGAGGGGAGCAAGCGGCTGTTGAAGTTGGGTTGTGTCCGGGTTCTAGGTCTTCGAGAGCTGCGGTGCTTCAGGGTTTAGGGCTCAAGGATTTAAAGGTTGAAGTTGAGGCTTAATCGGTGGTAAAGGGTTTAGGGTGTTTGTGCGTGCGTAACTTTACATGTTTCACGGTCAGGGTTTAGGGCAGGCGGGCTATGACCGGGTGTTCCGTGGAGGTCATGCACCGCCCTGTCCATCAGGGTTTACAGCTTGAGATTTAGGATTTAGGGCTTTAGGGTGCACGCTTGTCTGACGGTTTACGACAGAGGCAGAAAAGCCGTTGAAGCGCGACGTCGTGTGGAAATGTCAGCTCTCTGGCAGAGAAGAAGCTCCATGAAGCCACACACTCCAAGCCCAAACTTATAGATACAGCAGGGCAGCTATCCCGTCCTGTACAACCCTAAAAAATGGACCAGGGTGCCAGGCAGTGTTGCACTATAACTACAGGAGGGAACCCTAAAAACAAGAATTAGTGTTCATGCAAGTCCCTACATCTAACCCTTAAGCCACTCAATCCTTCAAAGCAAGCTTGACTCTAAACCCCGAACCCTACAAGGAACCCCAAACCCTGCAAAGGAACTCTAAACCTTTTGAAGGAACTCTAAACCGTTTGAAGGAACCCTAAACCCTTTAAGGAACCCTAAACCTTCTTAAAGGAACCCTAAGCCCCCCCAGGCCCAACAAGGGCAGATCGCAGGGCGAAAGCGCCTGGGAGCGTCTCTGCTCGATGAGGCGGTTGATCTCCTCCCGTCTGACGTACTTAAAGGATCAGGGGGCTTAGTAACTAGGGTTCCTTTAAGGGCTCCTTAAAAGGGATCTATAGGGGTTCCTTAAAGGGATCTATGGGGTTTAGGGTTTAGCGTCTACTTAAAGGATCATGGGACTTAGTAACAAGGGTTATAAGTAAGTAAGGTAACTATACTTATAACCCCAATAAAGGTACTTCTAACCTTTCTTACTAAGTCCCATGATCCTTTAAGTAGAGTCTCTTTGAAAGGGTTTGGGGTTCCTTTCAGGGGCTTAAGTTTCCTTTAGAAGGGTTTAAGGTTTCTTAAAGGGGCTTAAGTTTCTTTTACAAGGGTTTAGGGTTTCTTTAGAAGGGGTTCAGGATGGAACGCTCATAGAACCCTGAACCCTAAACCCTAAAAATTCCCTGAGTACTTGAGCGAAGTTGAAGAACTTAGGAGATCGAGCCTCGGGCTTGGAAGGGAGCGTTTAGAGCTGAGGGGTTTGGGAGAGATGTTGCAAAATTTCAAGGCTTCAGGCTTTGGTTTAGAGGCTTAGGGTTTAGGAGCTTCGGGCGTAGGGGCTCAAGGTTTCCGACCCTAAACCCTAAACCCGAATCCCTAAACCCTGAACCCTAAACCCTAAACCTAATCCCTAAACCCTGAACCCTAATATCCCTAAACCCTAATCCCGAAACCCTAATTAATCCCTAAACCCTCAACCCTAAACCGTCTTGTAGAAGGGTCAGGAGCGTTCCGGATTTCGGAGCACTTCGAGGTTTTCGGGGGATCGGCTCCAGGGGTGTAGGGTAATTAGGGGGTTGCTGCGTAGTGTTTAGAAGCTTGGGTTTAGGGTCTAGGGTTTAGGGTTTAGGGGTTTAGGGGTTTAGGGGTTTAGGGGTTAGGGTTTAGGGGTTTAGGGTTTAGGGGTTTAGGGTTTAGGGTTTGGGTAGTGTTTAGAAGTTTGGGTTTGCGACGGGCTGAGCATCCTTGTGGCAGTTTTCGCTATAGCTCTCGCATGGGGTGTGCGGGGAGTAGGGACATCGACAGCCAAAACCCACGGCAGGATACACCCGCAACCCTGAGACTATGAATCAGATTGCAACAGTGTTCCTGAAACAATGAAAAGCCGTATGGGGTGCTTTTGAAAATCCCGGATCGCTGCCGTTCTACCCCGAAGGTAGGATCCTGTTCCTCGTGAGTTGCGCCGTAGTTTTCCCGACTATGAGGGAGACAGGCTGGGATCGGGCATGGAGGTGAACACCATGCTCAGGTTTGAGTAATACCGGGGTCCTAAACCCTAAACCCTAACGGCAGTTTAGGGGGTTCGGGTTTGAGGGTTCAGGGTTACGGTTTGGGGCCCCAGGTGGTTAGGAGTCTCTGAGATCCGGGTCTTAGGGGTTGCGGTTTGCAGTTTCAGGGCTTTGGGTTTCACACGTTACAACTTTACATTGGCCGGTGTTCGTGTAGTGCCGTTGTGTGAGTCTGAGAAGTGTTGCTTTCATGAGACTGCTTCAGGCTTTTCTTGCACGCAGATCAAGAACACAGACCTGAACATAGATCCCTCATACACAAGACCCCATCTTGTTTCTGAGGCCCGATATGAGAATTTCACGAATCCGTGATCAACGAGGGAAGTTACTGCACAGGAGTCCAGATTATCGCCAGAATCCTAATATAGGGGCCTTAAAAAGTAGAATAGTGTTTTGGGGCCCATCATGCTATAAGTATAATTAATAGGGAACCCCCAAGATAGGGGTTCAGAATATTATGGCCCCTATATCATAGTACCCTACTATAGATCCCTTATCGACCCCTTTAGGCATACCTTTACAGGGAACCCTAGGTAAGTATTCAAGCTCCTATATTACCGGCCCTTTGCTCCTCGCGCTCTTCCGGCCGTCGGTTCGGCATGGCCAGGGCATGACTCAGTGCCGATGCCTCAGGATTTAGGGTTCGGGCTTGGCGTGGTGTTCTCGCTTGGGATGTTCGGGGGTGTATCCAAGGGTAAGAGGAGGGACCCTTAATAAGGACCCTTAGGGATATACCCTTAATATAGCTATTATATACCCGTTATATAGCCCAGTATAGGGTAGTCCCCATCAAGGGTCCCTCCTTTTCCCCTTTGAGTGTAGTACGGCTTGAAGAAGCGTCCAATATCCCATGGCTCGGGCTCTATTGAGTTGCTTCTTCGGTGTTAGATCCTTCTTCTCAGACCTTTTCGTGGCAGCCCTACTTGGAGGGGCAGGGGACTTAATAAGTAGGTTATAAGTAGGGGTATAGTTGGGGTAACTCCATTTGGGGTACTTATAACTCTACTTATAACCTACTTACTAAGTCCCCTGCCCTTCCAAGTAGCTTGCAGCCCACTGCCAAACGTCATTCGAAGTGTAGAGTGTAGAGGCTGGGTTCTTAAGTATCAAGACAGGGTTGAGTCAGACTGCATTCGCTCTCCTCCGGATTGAGCTTATGCGTCGACTCCCCTTTTCTCTGTCTCACCTCCGAATTTGTTGCGAGAGGCGCGTCCTCGGGACCCATGCCTACCCAGAAAGAAAGATTCTTTGATAATCAGAGCACCTTTGTGCTCAATTGTTCTGCAGCTTCGACAGGGAGAGCTCGTCGGAAAAAAAGGGTCATGAGGGTTCCACTGGGGACATAGAAGTGGCTATAGATCGTGGACACAGGCAGCAAAGAAGAACCCTTACAGTATAGATTTCTATGATTTCTGATACTTTGAATTAAAGAACCGTTGGGGAAGCAGTATCTACTTATTAAGGCCCCTGCATCGGGGTGCGTGTTAGGAAGGAAAGCGTTCTTTGGGCCCCCTTTCATGATTAAAGTTAAAGTTAGGATAGAAGCCCTACCCACAGAACCCCTTAAAGGAACCCCAAAAGCAAACCCTATAGACCCCCTAAACCCTAAACCCAAAGCCCGAGGCCCTAAACTCCAAAACCCTAAACCCTACACCCGAAACCTCATAGCCGTTATAACCCCAGTAACCCGTATAACCCTTGTAACCCTTGTAACCCTTGTAAGCCTTCTAATCCTTGTAACCCTTATAGCCCCTGTAATTAACCCTTATAACCCTAATAACCCTATGAAGACCTAAAAGAAAGGGGTCTGGCTCTGCCTTCACAGGAAGCACCCGGCAGTCGGTGGCCGCGCGCACGCGGGCCGGATGAGAGTCCACAAGGCCTCCAACGTTTCGGGTCTGGGGTTTAGGGTTTTAGGGTTTAGGACTTTAGGGTCTAGGGTTAAGGGTTTAGGACTTGTTTTTGAGGTTTAGTTCTTTAGGGTTTCAGCATGTCTGATTTGCGGTTCAGGGTTATGAGAGTTTGGGATAGGGCTTGGGGTGCTTCTGGTACTTCGGGCTTAGGGTGCGTAGGGGTATCCCGCGCCCAGAATTGGTTGCTGTGCGCTTAGGGCTTCAAAGGAGAGAAGGTGGCAGGGCTTGGGTTTGAGGTTCCGGGAGCCGCAAAGTGTCAGGTGCTTCTTCGCTTTCCTGTGATGAGCAAACAGTATCAGCACTAGCATGGACTTGGTTCGTAGGATAGCTTGCGCATATGTCGCTCTTGATTGTCACTCTAGTCCTTTCTTGCAACCGACTGCTGTTCTTACGTTCTGAATAGTGCTCCGGCCACTGTCCACTCAAGCTGTGGCTTGGGCGCTGAAGTATTATAGGGGCCTTAGTAATTAGAATAGGGTTTGGTGCCCATTATACTATAATTATAATAAGCAAGCCCCAAAATAGTATAGGTAACTAAATTATTAAGGCCCCTATATATAGAATACCCTACTATAGATCCCTTTTAAAGGGATCCCTAGGTATTTATTGAGGCCCCTATAGTAAACCCACAGCCCCTGGCCCTGATCCGATAACTTTGAGGTCGGGCTGGTGAGTCGTTAATCTTTGGGATGCCGGGCCGGGCCTAAGACGGCCACCTCCCCCAAGGAGGCATTGGGGCCGTAGCGGCCAATGCGGCTGCCGTTTTGTGCCTCGCAATCGACCCAGGAAGAGCGTGGAGACAAGACAAATTGTGCTGAGGGCGAGAATGCTG